CACCCCTCCTGTAGAGGGACATGCCCGACCTCAGACTACTCCGTCTCTGCCGAGAGCTAGTGGTTTTTTTTTTTTTTTTTTTTTTTTTTTTTTTTTTTTTTTTTTTTTTTTTTTTTTTTTTTTTTAAATATATATATATATATATATATATATATATATAACGCGGCATTTCTTGGGGCCATGCAAAGGGCGAAAGACGCGGAAGATGGTAGCTGAGTCACGCACGGGGAAACCCGCTATACGAGGCTTGCAGCGTCGTCACCCACGGAGGCACGCAGTGCCCCCCGAGGGGGCAAACCGCGGCGCAGGGAAAGAGCAGGGAGGGAGGGAGCAGGGGCGGGGGGGGGGGCGGGAAGGGAGGGGGCAGGGGGGGGGGAGGGAGGGAGGGGGCAGGGGGGGGGGGGGGGGGAGGAGGGGGCAGGGACCGGGGGGAGGGAGGGATGGAGGGAGGAGAGAGCAATGAGGGAGGGAGCAAGGAGGGGGGGGAAGCAGGGGGGACGGAGGGAGGGGGCAGGGAGGAGGGGGCAGGGAAGGGGGGGAAGGGAGGGAGAGGGGGGGCAGGGGAGGAGGGAGCAGGGAGGGGAGGGGCAGGGAGGGAGGGGGGGGGGGGCAGGGGGGGAAGGAGGGCAAACAAACCGCGGCACAAAGACGGCAACAAAAAAGGAACAAAAATGGAACAACAAAAACATAACAACATCCCCATAACAACCCAACAGCCCGGACGATGTGGGCACTCGTGCATATTCTGTCATGTTATTGTTCTATGTGTGTTCCGTTGTTGTTCCGTCTTTGCGCCGTGGGCCAGGTCTGCACTCTCGCCGGCCGTTGCGGACGGTGTCGACTGGCTTGGGCGTTGCGGTGCACCCGTCCTTCGCCCACTCGCGCAGCTGCGGCGCGAGGTCGGAAGGCTGGAAACGGGGCGCCGCCGTGCGCGGGCCATGGTTCCCCCATTCCTCGCGCGCGACCCCGGCCAGCGTCTCGAGCCGCAAGGTCACCAAGGCCTGGTTCCCGGTCAACGCCTCGAGGGGCTCGCCCGTCGAAGCCGCCATGCCCTTCGCCGCGCCGCTCGCGGTGGGCAGCATCACCGGGGCCCCCCCGAGCTCGAACTCCCTCATGAGGTGGTGGGCGCACTCTTGCGCGTAGTCGCCGTATGGGAACCCTGCAACACCCGTGGCCTTCAGCGCGGCGTCCGTGGTCTGCTCGCTGGCTGCGGGCCCCGCTGCATCGACGATCCGGCGCATGATGGCCAAGATCTCTTTAGCTTTCCTACGGGCCTCGGCGGCAGTAGGTTTCCCGATGAGGGACCTGGATGTGCAGCTTTGCACGGATGTGCTTACGACTTGGATCCCGCGCCGCCAAGCCAGTAGCAACCGGCGCTCCACCTTGGAAGCATAATCTTTGGATCACATGGCGGGAGGGGCGCCCGCGATCTTTGCAAATTTGGCGGTCCAGCCCACGGCGACGCAGGCGCATGCCGCAAGGCCACGGGCTCGGCTTGCCGCAGGCACCCCCTTGATAGCCCGCGCCATGGATGCAATGTCGGCCGGCCGGCGGCTCGCATCGGCAAATGGTGCAATGTCTGTCTCTCGCGGGGCCGACACCAACATCTTGCGGTTATTCTTCAGGTGCGCGATGAAAGTGTGGCACCTCGACCGCGCGGCCCGAACGATATTCCCGGAGTGGTTCAGCCTTCGCTTCTGCACGGTCTCGCGCACCATCGGAGGGAGCCGGCGGCGCGCGGCGCGGCGCTCGCAGCCCGCACTACCAACGTGCGCCCGGAGGATTGCCGGTCGTGCGGCCTCGTAGCCGCACAGCGCGCGCGTGAGAGCACCGTCCGACATGACCACAGCCCGAATACCCTTGAGCCCAAATGGCTGCGGCCGCCGCCGCCGCCGCCACCGCACGTGCAGAACCGAGCGTAAAAAAAAAACTAACTCTCGATGAGATTTGCGAAAATGAGAATAGCTAAGCCAAGGTGAGCTAAGCTAAGCTAAGCTAAGATGAGATAAGCTAAGCTAAGCTAAGTTAAGCTAAGCTAAGCTAAACAAAGCTACGCAAAGCTAAGCTAAGCTACGCCACGCTAAGCAAAGGCAAGCTAAGCTAAGCTGGGGCTGAGAGGGGCGCATCTGGGGGAACCCAGGGAGGACGCAGCCGAGCGCAACTAAAAACCTAACTCTTGAATGGGGAGCGTTGCGCGGTCAGCGCGCGTTAAGCGGCCCCCCTCGCGCTCCACTCCGCCCCCCCCCTCCGCCCCCGCCCCTCCCCCCCCGCCCCCCGTCGCCCCCCTCCCGTCTGCCTTCTGCCGTGTTTTTTTCGTCTATTTATTTTTATCTTTATTTTTTTTGCCAGAGCGCGCGACAGCCTGTCGAAATCCCATAATTCAAGGGCACGCGGACACCGCTGCTTGATAAACGAATCGGCCTCGCTCTTGCCAGCCCCGCCGCCAGCGACGCCCAAAGAACGAATGAATGTCCCCTTGCAGCCGCTCTGTTTCGAGAGCCAGCCATTGACGCCTGAAGCGCGCCCGAGCAAAAAAAATATGTCTTTGCAGCGCGGTGGGGATCAGCGGTCTAAATCTCACGCAAAGGATAACACGATAGGACGATAAGACGACATAAGACGATATGCCGATAAGACGATACGACGATAAAGGGGCAGCATACGATAAGACGATAAGACGATAAGACGATATAGGGCCACACCAGACGATAAGACGATAAGACGATAAAACCAGCTTATTGTCTTATCGTCTCATCGTCCCATGATGGTGACAACGACGACCACGAGGGCGCTGATGATGGTGATGGTACCGCTGATGGTGATAGTGACGCTCATGGCGATGAAAATCGTAAATGGTTATGGTTATGATGATGGTGATGGCGGCGATGATTGATGGTGATGCTTGCGATGATGGCGAGGATGGTGATGGGCGAAGATCATGGTGCACATGGGTATTATGACAGTGGTGATGGTGAGGGTGCTGGTGAAAAAACTTGATGATGATGGGAGTTGCGATTTGGACCTGCGTTTCAATGATTTTGGAAACATTGAAACATATGCCGTTCATCGTTGATGGTACGCCTGTGTATATACATGGTGCGCGGGTCTCAAGCGGAAGTGGCCTGGCCACCTTAGCTCGGGGCATCTTGGAAACCAAGATTGCGAGGGCGTCTCGGGCAAAAGTGGCCTGAACACCATGGGGCAGGGAACCTTCGAGGTCAGACTTGCGAGGGCGTCTCAGGCGAAAGTGGCCTGAGCACCTCAGCTCAACGCGTCTCGGAGTTTAGAGTTGCGAGTATGTCGCAAGCGAAAGTGGCCGGACTACCATAGGGCAGGGCACCTCCGAAGTCAGCGTTGCGAGGATGTCTCAGGCGAGAGTGGCCTGACCATCTCAGCTCGATGCGTGTCGGGACCCAGAGTCGCGAGGATGTCAAAACCGAAAGTGGCCGGACCGCCAGGAGGAAGGACATCTCGGAATCCAGAGTTGCGAGGACGTTTCAGGCGAAGGTGGCCAAATCACCTCCAGTCAAAGCACTTCGGATCCCAGAGTGCCGAAGATGTCTCATGCGAAACGGGCGAGAACCCTTCGAGAACTGCATCTTGGAACCCGGAGCGGTGAGGATATCCAAGGCGAGACTGCCCAGATCAAGGCAGGTCGGGGCACATGTGAGCCCACGCTGTCGAGGATGTCTTACGCGAAACGGGCGCCCCCCCCCTCCTCCCCCTCCTCCCCCTCCTCCTCTTCCTCCTATTCCTCCAATTCCTCCTCCTCATCTTCCTCCCGCCTCCTTCGCCCCCCCTGGCGTCTGATTCACTCCCCCCCGCCTCCTCACCCTCTTTCCTGTCCTCCTCCCCCCCCTCTTCCTCCCCCTCCGCCCGCCGAGCCGAGGCGGCGGGCCGGCCGGCCGAGCCGGGGCGAAGACGACGACGACGACGACGACGACGACGACGACGACGACGAGGACGACGACGACCTCCTCTTCCAAACATTTACCAACGCACGCACTGTACTCACACAAGTGTCCACCGGAGGCCTCGGGAAGGCTCCGGCGGCCTGCAAAAGGGAAAGGAATTCCAAAGCCTCGATCCTGGAACCTCGATCCTTGAACATCGAAGCGAGAGCGGTGGCGGCGGCGACGGCGGCGACGACGTCGACCCCGACTGTCGCCGACGTCGTCGCAGATTTTCTGCCCACGGCCTCGCGGCGAGCCATGCCAGAAAAAATCGCCCCTGGCGCCGGGAGCAATCAGGGCGCGCCGCTAGTTATGACGCGGGGCCGAGTGTCGCGAGCGAGTGAGACGCCACGCAAGCGCGCCAGCGCCAGGCGCCACGAACGGCCCACGAGTGGCTCAAGTTGCCAGGACTGCCCGTGAACAGTTCGCTATGCGAAGGGGCGATTTTCTGGCACTCCTGGCCGCGGCGCCATCGCCAGAAAATCCGCGACGACGGCGTCGACGAACGTGCGCGGCGCTTCAGCGAGAGCTCAATTTTGAAAAAGAACCGTCCCCCATCCCTAGAGCTCTTACGCAATAAAAAAATGTGCGGGACGAGTCAGCGAGAACCCAATTTTGAAAACGGCCCGCCCGCGACCCGTGCAACTGTCGCAAAAATCTTGAGACGAACGCGCGCGGCGCCTCAGCGAGAACCCAATTTTGGAAACGGCCCGCCCTCGATCCGTGTAACTGTTGCACAATGTTAAGACGAACGCGCGCGGCGCCTCAGCGAGAGCCCAATTTTGAAAGCGGCCCGCCCTCGACCCGTGTAACTCGTGCAAAATACGAAAACGAATGTGCGCGGCGCCTCAGCGCGAGCCCAATTTTGAAAACGACCCGCCTATCGACGACCCGCGCAATTTGCTCACGTTGCAAAATATAAAAACGAATGTGCGACGACGGCAACGACGACGACGGCAACGTCAGCGACGACCGACCGCGACGACGCCGACGACGAAACCGACCCCGAGCGTCGCCGACGTCGTCGCAGATTTTCCGGCGACGGCCTCATGGCGACCAACGCCAGGAAAAAATCGCCCTGGCGCCAGTAGTGATCAGGCCGCGTCGCGCATGACCGCGTCGATCACTGCGGCCGGGCGCCCCTCGTGTTTCTGGCGGTTTTTGTGCTTTTCCCTCGCAGCGAGGATGTGTTTCTTCCTTGTCGCGAGGGCCGTCCTGTTGTGCTTGCGGACCCGCTTGTCCAGGAATAAACACAAGTACATCGTGAAGTACTCCGCCTGGCCCTTGCACTTGAGCTTTTTTCATGAGCTCTTTCACCCTCTTGCACTTGAAATATTGTCCAAGCCTGACCACGCACTCCTTGGAGCCGGGGAAGGCCTGCGAGAAGCCCTTGAGCGTCAGGTTCTTCTCCACCTTGAGTCCTGTCGCGCAGAGGCCCCGCGCCATCCGCGCGCCCACCAGAGTGGCTCGGCAAAGCCAGAGCCCCCGATATGATCCGGAGCTCTTCCCCATCTTGGAGACGGCGGCCCGCCAGTCGGCGGTCGTGCCCAATGGGCTGCTGTCAGCAACGCTGGAAATGGCCGCCTGCTCGGCCGCCATGCCTCGGAAGTGCCCCCCCGCTTCCTCGCTGTACTTCAACAGGTCGTAGCGCATGGCGCCACCGAAGTTGAGGCGGCCCGTCTCGCTCTTCTGGACGATGTGGCAGCCGTGGAGCGTCGCCATCAGGCCAGAGTGATGCGCAATGGATCTGTCGAGGTGGGTGTTGGCCCACGTCCTGTCGACGCTCGTCATGTGCACCGCCAATTGGCGCAGCCCTTCGAACGCGAGTTTGAAAGCCCCCTGCGCTTGCTTGGGAGACGCAAGCGCGGCCCCGAAGAGCACCATCTTGTCGGCCACGGCCAGCTCGGAGTACCAGTCCACCCAAAACTGACGAGCTTCAGCCTCTTTCAGAAGGAGGAATTTGCGGTACATCAGCGGGTGTGCTGACATGTGGGGGTGGTCAGTCGGCACCTGCTTCATGAAGTGGAAATGGCTACGCCAATCCGTCGGAAACCAGTCCGGGAACATCGACCCCATGATGATGAAGAGATCTGCCTCTCCGGCGGGGTCGCTGCGCCAGCAGACTTCCGCGCCGTGTTCTTCAAGCAGCTCAACCGCGTGACGTAATGAAGTGGCCACCCCTAAGTACTCCTGGCCGGCCTGAACCCGGAATGAATGACTACCGTCATTCTTCTCGTAAGAAGAAGCTCCCACCAAGGGAGTCTCGCTGAAGGACATCGCGCGGGCTGGCGCTGCTCGCCATCAGGACGCCAACGGGTCGTAGGCGACCCAATCTTGAGCCGATAAGGGATGAGGATGGAGGCGAGAAGCGTCGACACTCGGGCTTCCTGGTGTCGGTCGTCGTCGTCGTCGTCGTCGTCGTCGTCGTCGCCATCGTCGTAATAGTCGTCGTCATCGTCGTAAGAGCGCCCCAAGAGGGCCCCGAGAGGCGCCCAGACGGCCAAAAGAGGCCTCCAAGAGGCTCCCGAGAGACCCCCAAGAGGCCCCAAGGAGGCTTCAAGAGGATCCCCGAAACACCCTATATGTCCCCCAGACGCTCCCAGAGCCATCCTAGAAGGCTCTTATGTTCGTCATGCTTCTGTTTCCTCGTCATCCTCCTCCCTCCTCTGCCCTCCCCCTCCCACACCTCATCCTTCTCATCCTCCTCCTCTTCTTCTTCCACCTCCTCCTCATCATCATCCTTCTCCTCCTCCCCCTCCTCCTCCTCCTCATCAATATTCCCTTCCTCCTTGTCGGCAGCCTACTCCTCCTCATCCCTCCTCTCTCCTCCCTTTCCCTCGCCACCTCCTCCTTGTCCATTTTTTCCTCCTCCTCCTCCTCCTCCTCCTCCTCCCCCTCCTCCTCCTCCTCCCCCTCGCGGGGAGGACAGCGACGACAGACGACGACGACGACGGCGACGGCGGCGGCGGCGGCGACGGCGGGGGAGAGGTAGGGAGGTGGGAGGGGGAGGGGGTACACGACGAGGTTCAAACCAAACATCGAGCCTCGAAGTTCATGTTCGGAGGGCTTCCTCGTCGCCACAGCTGGGCAGCACGAGAACCAGCAACACCACCAGTAGGACCAGCACCACCAGCAGCAGCAACAACAACAGCGCGAAAACCAGCAACACCAGCAGCAGCAGCAGCAGCGGCAGCACCAGCAGCCGCACCAGCAGCAACACCAGCAGCAGCACCACCGTCAGCACCAGCAGCAGCACCAACACCGCGAGAACCATCAGCACCAGCAGCAGCGTCAGCTGTCCTGGGCATCGTTTCTGAATGGGCCGGTGGGGATACGCGAAGCGTCTAGAATTTGTATCAGGAGATGGTCGCCCGGCTTCACCAACAATGCGGAATCTCGACAGCACGATGAGATGCGACAAGTGGTAGGGGAGGCAGAGGCGGGGAGGTAGAGGGGAGAGCGCATGAGAGCGAGGGGATAAAGAAAAAGCAGGAAGGGGGAGTGAGGGGAGGGAGTGGGAAGGGAGCGCAGAAGATGGGAAGGCGCTGCCCAAAGTGCCAGGACAACCAAAACATATTAGCCAGCGTGGACCCCAAACAATATCAGCAGACCGCAGATCTTCTGGCGCTGCCATTAATGCTAGAAAATATTGGCCAGCGTGGGCCCCAAACGATATCAGCGGACACCAGATTTTCTGGCGCTGCTCTAAATGCCAGCAGCACTGTCAGCAAATATTGCCCAGCGTGGGCCCCGAACAGTACCAGCAAACAGCAGATTTTCTGGCGCTGCCCCAAAACGCCAGCGCTGCCAGAAAGCATTCGTCAGCAAAGACCCCGAACAGCATCAGCAAACAACAGATTTTCTGGCGCTGGCCCAAACGCCAGCGCCGCCAGAAAATATCGGCCAGAGTGGTGCAAACAATTTATGTGGACCAACCTACGTGGACCAGGGAGAAGCAGTTGCGGTGTTTTCTGTTTTCTCCCCAGCTACTCCTAAAACGGCGCGTGGCCGAAGTGAACCAAACCAGTCCAGATCCGATGCGAAATCTCCTCCCCACGCAAGCGGAAGGCAAGCTGAAGAACAGAGCGAACTGCGGCGGCGGCTGCGGATTATCCTACAGCATCCGCGCCGAGCACAGAAAGCGCGGGCCACTTAAGGCCACCGCTGTTACTGTCTCTGTATTCTGGAACTGCCCCCCCGGAGCGACATGGCCGAAGGCTTGCAAATTATGTTGCAAAAGCTTCGCGCAAAGCCGAAATTGCAACCGAATCAGCGCCGCGCTCTCGGTGTAGGGCTCGGGCCAAGCTCATCACAGCGTCCACTCGCTCTGCCAGGAGGCAATCGCCCTCGCTCCAGGCCGGCAACGCACGCTTGTTGAAGTGGTGGAAGGTTTGGCGAAGAAAAGAAAGCTTGGCCAGCAACTGCCACCAAGGCAGCGACATGGTGCGGGCCGCATCCGGCACCATGCTCTCGGAAGCCGACCAGGTCCTTTCCACGGGAACTGTCCCGCTCTGGAGCGGAATGCCGGCAAGGTGGAAAGTCAGCGCCACCACGCGCCAGCGCCAAAGGCCTTGCAAGCGGAGCTTTTTCCGCAGGAGGCGGCAATGCCTCTGCACCTGGGCCGTCCACGCCGTTTTCCTTCCAGGCTGGCGCACCGGGAGTGGCCGGTTGGTCCGCCATATCCCCCTGCGCCGAATCGTAGTCTTCCGTCCGGGTTTGTACCGTGCCTCGATCCTCCGCGCCTCGCGCTTAAAGCACTTCAGGCTTTCCCACCCGTAAGGCCCATTCAAATGGCGCAAGCTTGCCTGGAATCGCCGCGCGAGCCGGGCAAGCGTCCCGCGCGGAGGCTTTGTCCCAAACTTCTCCTCCCAGACCTCGCTCCGCCGCGCATGCCGGGCCTCCAGATGCGCCCGCACTTCTCGGGCAGCCTGCGCCTGCGCCCGAATGAGCGCGCTTGCCTCCGTGGAATTCGCCACGGCCACATCGTGGAGCAACTGCTTGGCGCCTGCTGATAGCGCCGCCGGCTGGGGCGCGGCCTCGGGCTCGGCGGGGCGATCCGCGCCCGAAAGCCGCGCGACGAGGTCAATGTGGTCGCACTTGAGGTCGGATGCGTCGCCGCGCATGTGGCTCAGGGCCTTATTCAAATTGATTATGTTGTGGATAGGATCCCCCGTGATGACGCAGCGCGGGCCGGCGCCCTGTTGGACGCTAGTCGCGGGGCCTCGGGGCGTGCGAGCGACAACCCGAATGCCGAGATCGCCCCGGACCTGGCTTTACAGTTTTTTGTATACATCTGCGCAATGGTACACAGGAAGTGCCTCGTCGAGCGCGAGGCCGGCCTGCAAGCCGCAGACGCGGATGTCTCGAAGCAACGGCCTCAGCTTCCCCTCGACGTCATCCCAGGACTCGCCCTGGCAAGCGTGGTAAGGCTCGAGGAGGGAACCGTCCGCCCCGGAGAAACCGATGACGGCCGTGCACGGCCGGGACACGTGGCCATCGCTGTCGTAGATGATATGGGACAGCTTGAAGCACCCGTCAACGCGGATCCCGCGCCCGTTGTACAGCAACTGTCTCTGGTGCATCACTCGGACGCGCGCATCCACGAGACCGGCGAAACCCTTGAACAAGACGGACCGCAGCACAGCGCATCTCGGAATCGTCGACATGTGCCGCGACATCCCCAATTGCGCATGCCCCTCGCGGAGGGACCGCCGCGCTTCGTCAAGCAACGCTGACGAGTACAGAGCAGCGAGGCGACGACGGGTCTCACGCGCATTGAAGCACTCGTTGAATGACAGGCACGCTTCGAGCACGAAGCGCGCAGTCATGTGGACTGGGGCATCCCTCCCAGAGCGACCACGAGGGATGATCACGTCTGGGAACTCGCGCTTCACGTCCTCGTCGCGGACGGCCCAGTACTGCTCCCCCGCTTCAGTATGGCGCTGGTGACTCAGCTCCAGCAGCGTGGTGGATGCAAGGCGCGCCGTTGCATCATGGCGGCATGTGCTGCACCGCCATGGATTGGCTGTGAAAGCCCAAGACAGCGGCATGTCGAGAACGGCGCGAGTGCTCGCACCGCGCGTGGGAACTGGGTAGACCATGTGTGGCCGACCGCGGGCTGCCGCCTCAGCGGCATGCTGACGAGCACCATCTGGCATCACGGGGGTCGCGCGCCCATGGCTGCGCACCTCCGCGTCCCGCTTGGCCTGCCGGCCAGGGTCGACGTGTTCAGCGGCATACTTGGCCAAGGCAGCAAAGAAACCAGACTCTGTGGCAGCCGATGCCTCAGCGTGGCCGCCGACCACTCTCTCCAGGCGCAGGCGCCCGTCGCTACGGTGAGCCACAGTGTATGAGGGCCCGATGTCCTGGAACTCCGACACTTTGCAAGTGTCCACGCCGTCCAATATGTAGGAGCCGCCCGACTCGCGCTCCTCCACAATACTGGATACATCCACCATCGGAATGTGGCGCCACCAGAACGCGTCGAGGATCATCGCGCTCCGACCCCGCAAGGTCGCCTGCATGCCGCGCCTGGCAGACCAAAGGAGACTGCGCACGATTGCGTGTCATCGACATCGTCCAAGTGGAAGAGGCGCACGTCCATCCGGCGCGCCAGCTTTTGAGGCGCCCGCCCGGCTCGAGGACGCCTGGCCAAGCTGGGGCAGTCCTCGTTCCAAGAGCGCGCGGAGGCCTTGGCCCGCGAGCCCTGGGCGGCAGTCGCCTGCTGGGGCTCCGCTGGCGCCGCCGCAGCACAGGCGGGTCTGCGGTTCGCCGGAGAGCGGCTGCGCCCGCGGCGCCACCTCTCGGCCAGCTGAGGTGGCGGGGGCCCCTCCCGCCGGACAGCGCTGCGTGGTTTCCTGGGCAAACGCTTCGGCCAGGCTCTGCTGTCGCTGCAAGGCGCCGCCGTGCGGGATGCTGCTGCCCGCGCGGAAGATCGCCTACGAGCCGTGAGTGGCAACGGAAAACAGATGTGCACATGCACTTGCTAGCACGCGTACCAGCTCGGAATACGAGCATGTCCATGTACAACGCTGAGCTCCCAGAGGCGCCCCCCAAAGCGGAGCCCTCCGAGGTTCCTACAGGGCGCCCCCCAATGCTGATCCCTCCGTCCACCAATGCGGAGCCCTCCGAGGTTTTTACAGGGCGCCCTCCAAAGCTGAGCCCAACGCGGTTTCAACAGAGTCCTCCAATGCTGACCCCCAGTGCGGAAGGCAATTCTTGACCACCCACCCCTGTTTCACTGGCAGCTCAGCGTGGCCGCCGAACATTTTCTGGCG